GTTAAATGACTTGCCCAAGGTCACACAACAGGTAAGCGCCTAAGGACAGATTTGAGTCAGGTGTTCCTGACTCACGGCCCCCATGTCCTGCACACTGAGCCACCTAGCTACCCCTGCTCTTGAGGACGGTACATTCTATCGGATGTAATGGTGACTGAAAAACCAAAGGTAGGTGTAAGCAAAATGCAGCATGTTAGCAAGGATGATTTGTGCATAAGATTCGATCTAGAAACATTTACTGAATGCCTACTGCGGGCTAGCCACCATTTCACACACTGGTAATAGAAAGACAACAATAAAAGAGTACCTACTTTTGGTTAGCTTATATTGTAATGTGAGAGACTCCTGAGTTGAGCCAAGAGATAAACGTCCGCATCATTGCCCATAGCCAGGTGAGTCTGAAGAGACGGGTTCCCGCACAGGTACAGGCACTTTTTCTGTAGGTACGTTTCTAGTGTCCTAGAACACTAGAGAAAATCGTGATCCTTGGCTAGCTGGAGTAGGTTCTTTTGGGATCATACCATTTCCCAAAGGAGTCAGGGTAAAGGGTAAGGGTCAACTTTTTGGAAATTCATTGTTTCTGAAAATTCAGTGTAACGATCAACCAGCCCGTGCCCTTTTGTTCACTCTCCCCAAGATGTGAAGAATCCCTGTATTATTCTGTTTGTCACAAGGTCTTGGCAGATGATTCACCACAACGCTGCCCCTTTGTCTGGAGACGGGTAAACAAGTGTGATTCCAGAAATGGCCTTAAAGTGAATTAAATCATATGATTCAAGAGGGAAGCAGTCGTGCCTCAGAGGCCCCTAACCCCATGCAGACTTTGGAAAAGGGGTGGATTGTAAAGGTCTTGAAGAAATAGGATCAGACTTTTTGGGGTCATGTGTAAGCACACTCTCATTCAGGCCAACGGTAGATTCTTGAAAAAGCCATGGATTGTACATCTGGGGGTGGGAGGGACCTCAGAAACCATCAAGCCCAACCCCCTACTGTACAGACAAAAGAGCTGAGGCCCAGAGAGGTTATAGAATCACAGAGTTAGAACTGCAACCATGCAGTCTAATCTCATTTTACAGATGAGCAAAGTAAAACCCAAGGACCTGGTTAGGTTGTAAGCTCCATGAGGGCAAGGACTTGTCTTTTGCCTCTTCTTGTATCCCCAGAACACAGCATAATGACTAGGGTATAGCAGGCACTTAACAAATGTTTGTTGATTGATTGGCATGAAATGACTTCCCAAGGTCACGTGAGTAGTAAGCTCTTAGCTTCATGGCTCTAAGGTCCCCTGATTCCAAAGTTCATATTCTTACTGCTGCATGTACGCCATAGGGAACAGCAAATCACATCTGATTTGTTTTTGTCCCCTTTGATTTGGAATCTATGGTTTATCCTTAGTAGCACAGTACAGAATCAAACACCCAGTGCATCTCTACTACGTGCCTAGTCACTGCTGGGCCCTGGGGATACAAACAAAAGTGAAATAACTTTTACCCTTATGTAGCTTACTCTTGAGCCAAATTCTGAAGTAAAGCTTGGGTATTCTCACCGCCTATTGCCAGGAAGACTTCCTTTCCTATGTTGGTTGGCTCTCTCCCTTTCTCTGGGCCTCAGTTTCCCCATCTCTAAAGTGGGGGCCTGAGTCTAGGTGATCTCAGGGCTCCTCCCTAGCTCTACCAGTCTGTGATGCTTTTTTTGCATTAAAATACAGGACTAGGAGAGACAAGATATTCCATATACTGATGAAATTATAGATCTGGTCTAAAATTCTAAGAGAAAAAATAAAATTAGGGGGGAAATGTGGATGGAAAGAATTCTACTTTCTTTCCACAGCTCCCTCAAGCAAGTAGCTAAAATTGATTGATCTACACTGGGACATTGAGGACCAGCCTGCCATTTTTCCAGCCAGGCTTCCTTTATTGTATTCTTTTTCTTTTCAGCTTGTAGTATTGGATTTTCAGAGGCACACTCTGGAAACATCAAGGTTTTTCTTTATTCTACCACTAACATATTGTGTGATGTAAGGCCAGACACTTCCAAACTCTGGGCCTCAGTTTCTCCAACTGTAAAAGGAAAGGGTTTGACCCTTGAGGCCCCTTTTTAGCTCTAGTATTCTGTAAGTTGGAGCAGCTTTTTCTGTCTCACATTTGATGTCTGAGATATTTGCAGGTTTAAATTGTGACCGGCTCTCCTGCTGTGTGACATTTTTTGAAAATGAATCTCAAAGACACTTAATAGAAGTGGGACTGAGCTTCAAAGCAATGATGTGTGCTGATTTCCCATCTATTAATAACTCCCATGCCCCAGCCTGTCACCTGTACACCCCAAGCCATATGGCAGTATATGCAGAGAAGGTGCAGGGACAACACGAGAGAAGACCTTTATTGGATGGGCATGCAGCTCAGCAGGGAGAGTCTTCTGTTCTGTGAGTGTCTGAGGTGGACTACACAGATGAGGGTAGGTTTCTTTGGCCTGGCTTGGCAATGCCAGCCTCTATCCACCATCTTGGACAACAATTTGGTTGTTGCCAGAAGATACTCTATTCAACTTTGCTGAGTTCAAGAGGTCTTTATTATATACAAATATAAATGTATACACACACACACACACACACACACACACACACACACACACACATATATATTATAGCACCCCCATGAGTTCCCCATCCCCTGAAAGCATACTCAATTGGAATTCTAGTCAAGCACATGGAAGCTGGGGTAGATCTACTTTCTGGTATGTGATGGAGAGACCCTTCCCACTCCCCATCCCCCCCCCCACTTAATAGTAAGTGCTGATAGCTTCTAGTTGCTTTCTGTTGGCAGGATGTCTCAGGGGTTCATATTATGTGATGACCAAAAAATATTTTAATTTGTTGCTGAACCTGAACTCCATAGACAGAATAATGGGCCCATTCTCACCCATAAAGTCTCTTCTTCCTACCATCCTTGAAATGTAAAGACAGATTCTCTGAGTTCTCCAAAGGATCGTGTGGAGGGGGGGAGGTGTTCTTCCTTCTCCCCAGCCACAAACCATGAGCTCATGGTCTTCCTCGGCAAGCCTGTGCCTGGCATAAGGAGACCTCCCATTTTATCTTCTTTCCTTTGGTACCAGACTTGTGAGATTTCAGAAAGCAGTTGGCATCTTTCCCTCTCCAGGTACCACAGGAGTGGCAGGTAGTGCTGTTGGGATGGCAACAGTAGCAGAGACAGAGTAATCAGAAAAGAATGGATTGCTTACAGAGGAGAGACAGACAGACAGACAGACAGAGACAGAGAAACAGAGAGAGACAGAGAGAGAGACAGAGCACATTGGAAAGGAAGAGCCCCTTGGCACTGACTAGGCTACACTTAGTGGAGATGTCATCTTGAAACACAAAGGATATTGATCAATATTTCTGTAAACATTGCTGAGAGTTTGGTGAAATTGAGCAGAAGTTGCAGATACAAGAATCTATGGAGCGAAGCTTACAGAACTCGGAACCATTAGATAAAATTTAAAAAGAAAATAACAACAGTAATAATATAGATAATATTTATAGAATACATTAGAGTTGGCCAAGTGTTTTACATACATTATCTCATTTGAGTCTCATGACAACTTTATGAGGTAAATACTTGAGGTATTATTCTCTCCACTTTATAGATACAAAAACTGAGGCTCAGATAGATTAAATGACTTTCCCATGGTCATGTAGCTAGTAAGTGTCAAATATGCAATTACAAACCAATTCTCTCCTTTCTCCACGATGCTACACTATCGCTTTATTACGGGCCAGTGGATTCCATACAGGATTGCACTAGGTTATTCCTTGAAATCCCTTCCAGTTCTGTCATGGGGCTGTACAAAATTAACATTTAAATAGTCAACTAAAATAATGTGGGCAAAACAAGGAGCAGTTTGGAGGTGTTGAGATGGTGCCCTGGATTCTGGACGGATGAGGGAGGGCGTTCCAGTGGAAGTGAATACTAAGATGAATTTCAAAGGTAACTAGAATGACGCACATTTGGGAAGGCATTCGAACCATATGCTTTAGGAAGGAGAAGAGAAGGAAAAGAGAAGAGAGTGTGGAAGGGATTGGGCATATGTTTGCCTGGGTTAGAGAAAGAAAGTAAGTAAGGTAATGAGGAATGAGCGCCTGCATGAACTTCCCTTGACCTCCTAGGGCTAGCTGAACCCTTACACCAATGCTGGGAACCATTCCACCAATACTAGGCTCCTGTCGATTCTGCTCCCATGGGCCAGTGATTCAAGTATTGTGTACTGTGAGGCACTTCAGGATTCTCTGACAAGTTGCTCTCACACCATGGATGGGCCCAGATATTCCAAGACTGTATGACTCTTCTCTAACACCAAGTGCTTATTCCAAAAAATGTGCCCTAGTTACTCAGGTATACTAGCAGGCTATACCCAGATATTCCAATGACAGTGACAAGATTTCTTGGTAATGTCAGAGTTTCTGTTTACAATTTATAAACGTGTTGGTTGTTATTCGAGAAGATTGTTATGAGGAGGAGGGGTTCTTCAGAAAGCTTTGGAGGCTAGAATCATAGACTCAAGTTGGCAGGGACCTTAGAGACCATTTAGTCTAACCTCTGATTTTGCAGGTGAGGAAACTGAGGCCCAGAGAGTTTATATGACTTGCCCAAGTCACACACATAATAAGTCTTGGAGCTAGGATTTGAACCCAAGTCCTCTGACTCCCTCCAGTGTTCTAGCCATTGCCCTCTGTTGTCTCCTATATTGGGGTATCCATCCAGCATACTGAGGGCCTTCCTCTTAACCTCTTGACACAGACATAAATTCATGTCATATAGACAGGAATAGAACATGCAAGCTCTCATGTATCTCTTGTCCTTGCTCCGTGACTGGACTATCTCTTGTTTTGTTTTTACATCTCTGGTGATATCCTTTTGTGCCCTCTTTAGTGCATGATTCATTATCAGTAATACATTATAGTTTATTCACATCTGCCATAAGTCTCCCCATTGACTTGGGTTGATCCGCTAGCTTAATTGTCTGAAGACTGGGGCATTCAGTGACTCACAGTCAGCACCAACAGAGCACTGGTATTTAAAAGATGACCCTGAAAGAAGAAACAAAGCTATCACTCTTTCCAGCTGATACGATGCATACTTAGAGAATCCTAGAGAATCAAGAGAAAAATTACTTGAAATAATAAACAAATTTAGCAAAGTTGCAGGCTATAAAATAAACCCACATAAATCACTGGCATTTCTACACATTATTAACAAAGCTCCACAGCAAGAGATAGAAAGAGAAATTCCATTTAAAGTTACTGCAGACATTATAAAATATGTAGGAGTCTACCTGCTGAAACAAACCGAGGAACTATATGAACACAATTACAAAACACTTTTCACCGCAAATAAAGTCAGATATAAATAACCGGAAAAATAACATTTGCTTATGCGTAGGCCAAACTGATTTGATAAAAATGACAATTCTCCCTAAATTAAATTACTTATTCAGTGCCACACCAATCGAACTACCAAAAAGTTATTTTATGGAGCTAGAAAGAATAATAATGAAATTCATCTGGAAGAACAAAACGTTCAAAATATCAAGGGAATTAATGAAAAGAAATGCAACAGAAAGTGGCCTAGCTGTACTAGATCTTAAGTTGTATCACTAAGTAGCAATCATCAAAACTACTTGGTGCTGGCAAAGAAACAGAGTGGTGGATCAGTAGAATAGGTTAGGCGTGCAAGACACAACAGCCAATAACTGTACTATCTACTATTTGATAAATCCAAAGACTCCGGCTTCTGGGATAAGAACTCACCATTCAACAAAAACTGCTGGGAAAACTGGAAAAAAAGTATAGCAGAGACTAGGCATAGGCCAACATCCTGCACCCTATACCAAGATAAAGTCAAAATGGCTACATGATTTAGATATAAAGGCTGATACTATAAGCAAACTAGGAGAGCAAGGAATGGTTTACCTGTCAGATCTATGGAAAACAGAAGAATTCATGACCAAACAGGAGATAGAGAACATTATGAAATACAAAATGGATGACTTTGATTACATTAAACTGAAAAGTTTTTGCAAAAGCAAAGCCAATGCAACCAAGATTAGAAAGGAAGCCAAAAGCTGGGAAACAATTTTTACAGCCAGTGTCTCTGATAAAGTACTTATTTTTAAAATATATAGAGAACTGAGTCAAATATATAAGAATACAAGTCATTCCACAATTGATAAATGGTCAAAGGATACAAACAGGGAGTTTTAAGAGGAAGACATTAAAGCTATCTATAGTCATATGAAAAAATGTTCTAAATCACTATTGATTAGAGAAATGTAAATCACACCAACTCTGAGGTACCACACCACATTTATCAAATTGGCTAACGTAGCAAAACAGGAAAATGATAAATGTTAGAGAACATGTGGGAAAATTGGAACACAAATGCATTGTTGGTGGAGTTGAGAACTGATCCAACCATTCTGAAGAGCAATTTGGAACTATGCCCAAAGGGCTATAAAATTGTGCGTACCCTTTGACCCAGCAATACCACTTCTAGGTCTGTATCCCAAGAGATCATATGAATGGGAAAAGGCCCTACATGTGCAAAACTATTTCTAGCAGCTCTTTTTGTGGTGGCAAAGAATTGAAAATTGAGGGGATGTCCATCAATTGAGGAATGGCTGAACAAGTTGTGGTATATGACTGTAATGGAATACTATTGTGCTATAAGGAATGATGAGTTGGCAGACTTCAGAAAAACTTGGAAAGACTTATATGAACTGATGCAGAATGAAACAAGCAGAACTGGGAGGACATTGTACATAAGTAACAGCCATGTGGTGTGATGACTGACTTTGATAGACTTAGCTCTTCTCGGCAATGCAAGGATCTAAGACACCTCCAAAGGTCTCATGATGGAAAATGCTACCCACATCCAAAGAAAGAACTGTGGAGTTTGAATGCAGATGGAAGCATACTATTTGCTCTCCTCTTCTTTTGTTTCTTTGTTTTGTTTCGTTTCTTCTTTCTTGTGATTCTTCCCATTAGTTCTAAGTCTTCTTTACATCATGACTAATGTAAAAATATGTTTAATATGAATGTAAAAGTAGAACCTATATCTGATTGCATGCTGGGGGGGAGGAGAAGGAGGCGGGAAAATTTAAAACTAAAAATCTTATGGAAGTAAATGTTGAAAACTAAAAATAAATAAATTAATTATAAAAATACAAACTGAAAAAAATGAAAAAAAAAAGACTAGCCTAAGTCTGGGATCATTCGAAACTTCCCAACTACCTCAGCTCATGCTGATCTGCCCTCTCTTTTAAGGCATTTAGCTCGTTTAGGAGCTATCCAGTGATAAGACCCATCCATATGGAAGAGTTAGGGAACATTTATCAAACAGTACACAACCAGGTGCAGTATAGTATGGGACAGTTGGTGAGGTCTCTAGGGCCTTAAAAGAGAGGGCAGATCAGCATGGGCTGAGGTAGTTGGGAAGTTCTTCACGTGGTAAATGTAATCCATGGCTTTCTGGGTGATTCTAACCTGATAAGGGCAAACAAATTAGTTTGAGGGGATACTTTAAGGGCATGTCCGCTAGCAATGATTTTTGGGGAGTCTAGATTGGTTGATTTCATCACTGTAAGATACCTCTTCTGCCAATGCACATCAGTACCTGCTTTGAAATTAGTTTTAAGAAAGTTGCCTAGGACATTAAAAGAGTAAGTGACTTGCCCAGAATCACGGTCCATATGTGGCAGGGCTGGTCTTGAAGTCCGGGCTTACTGACTCTGAGAATGATCTCAATTTACCATACCATGCTGATTCTCTAGAACTGAATACTCCCTTAAAACAAACAAAAAGGTAGATTCTGAACTTTCTTTTCCAGGTTCACAATGGGAAATTATATTTTGTCCACTATTGAAAGAATCCTTTGGAGGTTAAGTAAAATAACAATAACAACAACAACAACATTAACAATCGTATCTAACATATATACAGAAGCTACCGCGTGCCAGGCACTGTGCTAAATGCCTTATAATTACCCCATTTGATCCTCAGAACAACCCTGGGAGGTAGGTGGAAGTATTAAAGTTATACTGACTCAGTTACCCATTGTTCCCAGACCTGTTCGTCAATCAGTGGGGATGGGGTGGGGTGGGGAGGGAGGCGTCATCCAATCTGTAGCTTTTGTACTCCGTGCTCTTTAGGATGTACTTCTCCCTGTTTAACATCACATGTGGGCAATTGAGGAGGAACTGAGATGCAATGGCCCATCCCTTTTTACTGATGTGGCCCTATCTGAATTGTCTATCTCATTATGAAAGCTATGGCTGGCTCCATCTTGAATCCCCTGCTGATCTCCAGTGATCAGCCCATCAACATGTTGCTATCCCTATATATTTTAATAAACTCCTTAAATTCTCTTCGTCCTGAGTCCTGTGTCCTTAATCAGGGCAAAAGACCAAACAAAGAATTTTCCTTTTCACAGAAGTGTTATTAGTGGATCTACATGAGAATAAATACAGCTTGGAAACCTGTAATGAGAAACAGTGTGGCTTGCTGTATAGACATCAGGCCACCAGAGTCCAGATGATGTGGATTCAAGTCCTGTCTCTTTTAAATACTAGCTGTGTGACCAGTATTTAATCTCCCAGTAACCCAGGCAACTCCAAGACTATAGCTTGCAGAGAAGGTGCTGATCTGTCCTGGAAGAAGAAATTCCTCACCAGGAGGTGTCTACTACGATGAAATCACAGATTAATTTTTTAAAATGAAAGACTTACAGGAGATATGACTGTGTCACTCCTGTTCAGTGATCTCTGGGATCAAATACAAACTCTTTTGTTTGTCATTTAAAGCTCATTATAACCTGGGCTCCTCCTATCTTTCAAGTCTTCTCACACATAATTGCCATTGGCAATACAGTGTTCCTCACACATGACACTCTCATCTCCCACCTCTGCACCTTTGCATTGATTAGCTCCCAGACCTGGAATGCTCTCTCTTTCCCCCTCCCCCACTTAGAACCCTGGCTTCCTTCAAATTGAGCTTAAATTCTACATCTGCCGTTCCACAAAGAAACCTTTCCTGTGATTGCCTCTCTAAGGTGACCTTCCATCTACTCTGTGTATATCTTGTATCTACTACCTTACATAGTGCTGTTTACCATTAGAATGTCAACTCCTTGAGGGCAAGTTGTGTTTTGCTTTAGTCTTTTTGTTTTCAGCACCTGCCACAGTGTTTGGCACAATAGAGGCTTGATAAGCGCTCAATGACTGATGGTTGGAGTCAATCAATCAACCTGTGAGTATGAGGTTAGGTTGGCCCTGTCACATTGTATATGTGCCCACTTCTTACATAGTCTAATACACAAGTGGCACCTGTCTCTTTGCCCCTCCTCCTTCACTTCTCTACATTTAGAAGAAAGAAAAAAATCACGAGAAAATAAGCTCATATAAGGAATTCAGTAACAAAACAGCCCCATTCTAGTCTGATGCTCCAAACAAACACCCCTTCTTAGTCCTCTCCTGGGCTATTCTCAACACTGCCCTTCCATCTCAGACCAAAGTATAAATTTGTGGCTCTGACGTTCTAGCAGACCAATGCTATTTAAAAGAGGATTCAGCGTCCTTCCCCAAAGGCAGGGGATCTCCACGTGGGGTTCATGGATAGATTTTAAGGGTATCTCTACTTTTACTTTTATCTCTTTTGTAATTCCATGTATTTTATTGTATGCATTGAAAGACATGATTCTGAGAAGAAAGAGGTTCATAGGCTTCAGCAGATGTCAAAGGGGTCCATGGCATAAAAAGAAGCCTTTCCCTAAGGATTTCCAATACTATGATTGGAAACAAAAGGCATTGCATTGTTGGGAAGGGGAGATCCTAAGGGGAAATGAGTAGGCATGGTTCTGGGAGAGAAATTTGGGGGGCAAAGTCCCCATTTGGCTCTTTTGCCCAGGGGCCATGGTACAAAGAAGATTCTCCTTATCCATTCACTTTCTAGTGCCCTCATACCAGCAATGATTTTGTATTTAAATTTTCCCTGTCCAAGGGTTGTTTCCCCTTGGTATCAGGGCAGAGAACCTT